AACCAAATAGTGAAAAGAAGTTAAAGATGTTCTTTACCTTTATTATAGAAAACCACTAGACTTTTTCTTTTTTTTTCTTTTTTTTTTGTTTTTCACAAGGCATTCATTTATTCTATGTCTTGAGCTCATTAGTTGACAGAATCTATCTTTTATACTTGCTCATTCTTTTGTTTCCTGTCTTATTTCCATCTTATGTTTGATTTGTTCGTTATTTTATTTTATTTTATTTTTTTATTCTGATCAAACCTTCAAAAATACGGTATATATATTTTTTATTTCCTTTAGATTTGTTTCTTATGTTTTTTTGTTGTATTATATATGAGAACAAGTTTAGATATTTAGTATAAGATTTTTTTTCTTTTTGTTCTTTTTATTAAAATAGTAAAAAAAGTATGTTAATTAAAACTAATATACATATATTCCCAAAATAATTGCTTTAGGAGTCAAAATAGAAGTATAATCTTTGTTTTTATACAAATTGATCTACGTCATCAATATCTATATTCATATTGTCAGCATATGTTTTTTAAAATTATAGTAGTTAAAGTCAAAATTTTTTTATCTTTCATTACTCATATGTTAAATCATTAACGCCAAGTACCATTCATCAATTTCTTTTCATATAGGAATATTGTATCTTGGGAATAAGTATGATGCTGTGAAAATATAGACTATCTATATGTACTAAATGAAACAGAAGGAAACAGGAAATAAGAAATTTTCTTAATCAAGTTTCTCACAACAGACAAAATCTTTTTTTTAAATGTTCAAAACTGTTTCCGTTATGTGTCGAACATGATTAAGATGTTTCTTTTTCTTTTACATATAGTCCTTCTTCTTCTTCTCCATTTATTTTTTTTCTTTTTTTCTTTTCCTATATATATACTTTATTACATATATATATATATACAGAATAAGTGTAGAAAGAAAAAAACGATTATACGATCTAAACAAGAAATAAAACTCATTTCCATTGATCGAAATATTTTCTTTTTTATATTGCATCGTTTTTTTCGAATAAAATCATTATTAGTAAATAAATAGATCAGTTTTTTTTTTTTCGTTTTTTTTAACCTATTTTCTCATAAATCCAAAGAAGAAAAAAAAAAAAAGAATACACTTCATTGAATTTCTATTTGAGAAACAAATCATAATGCGCAAAAGAAACTATTTGCAAATTTACACCCTGTATTAGAAGAAAGATACGAACAAACATAAAAAATACATTTTGTATGGTAACAAGAACGTACAGAGGAAAAAAAAAAAAAAGAAAGATTATTATTTATCAGAACAAATAATAAAATTAAAAAGAAGAGAAAAATACAAAGTCTCTCTTTTGTGTGTGTGATATAATAAAATAAAGACAAATATACCATTACATGTACAATCGATATATATATATATATAGTTATTGTTGGATTTTCTTCTTTTTGTTGTTTTTTTGAAGTTTCTCGTCGCCTATATGTCTGTGAAAACAAGAAAACAACTATCTACTATAATCATCAGCAAAATCAATGATCGTCTAATAATATAAATATTTATTCATTCTGATATATTTCTTCTTCTGAGCATGCTGAATGAAACAGACTTTTTTTTTTTTTTTAATGTCAAAGTAATTGTATTAATAATAGGAAAATAAGAAATTTTCTATTGATTGATATTTAATCAAGGGGTATGTTATATCTTCGATGTTTTCTATTAGAGCCTCTTCTCAAATAAGAGAAAAACAAGAAAGATTCAGCAAATTTTATATGTACAGTTGACAAATGTACAAAAATGATTTAATTCGTCAATTTGAAAACATAATTATTAAGGGTGAGAAAAAAATTAGATAAATTCGATAAGATAAAAATATTTTTATATCTACTCGATTATATAGAATTGTCAACTCTCTATACAAATTATTAAAGTTTTCGCACATATAGAATTTTTTAATGATGAACTAACATATAGACTCTAAAAATCTTAAAATAATTCCGATATTTTCGATCTACAGAGTGTAAAAAGTCATTGAGTCAGAGAATCTACTCTCTAAAAAAATATGTTGATTAATATAAACTCGCTAAATGAATTTGGAAGAGGAAAAAGGCCAGTTTGAAACTCATTTGAGTCTATTAACAACTTTCTCGAATCCCCAATGGGTTAATGGCGCTTCGAACTAAAAAAATGATATCTGGTGGTGACAAATCAATAAAAGCCAAATTTTCTGAAATCTTTAAGGGTTGTTTCATTAATTCAGAAGTTTATTCCTAAACCCAATGGTTAATTAAAAACAATCCTTAAAGATTTCAGAAAATTTGGGTTTTATTGATTTGTCACCACCAGATATCATTTTTTTAGTTCGAAGCGCCATCAACCCATTTGGGATTCGAGAAAGTTGTTAATAGACTCAAATAGGTTTCAAACTGGGCATTTTCCTTTTTTTTTTTATTAATCAATCTTCTTTTTTAGACAGTAACTGGATACAAGCAATACAGATGTTTTCTACTAACAGTACCAGCTGTATACCTAACTGGTTTTTACACAAACTGATGTTAAATTGAAAACTACGACTATATTTTGAGATAGATAATGAAGTTTACATCATCATCATTGTCGGATCTTTTTACTGACTTATCAACAATGGCTAGACCAGTCGCATGTTGATATTTAAGTTTTCTTAAAGATTATAGTGCAATTATTTCGTGTCATCTGTATTAGTACGCTGACATATACGGTTAGATATTATGTATTCAACTTCTTCTTTTTTTTTGACGATTCACTCACTATACGAAATTTTTCATGTGTAATTATTCCAGGACACAACATGATTCTCATGAGAGTGAATAAAAAAGAGAGAGAGAGAGACTAATAAAGTGCAAGTATGTGAGTAGAAAAACAAAAAAACATATTATCTATATTGTCATAAGATAGTTTTCTTCTTCAAAAAAAACTAACATTGTGAAACTTGTTAAAAGTCAATGTTACAAAAGTCATTTTCTCAAATATTCCATAAGGAAATTATATTATAGATAGGAATGGTACTTTACCGTTATCAATCCTAACACTGCATGAATGTATGTATGTAACTTGATATTTTCTATAAACTAACTTTTCATAAAAATCGACTTAAATTTTATGAGATCTTGATTTTATAAAAAACGATCCAAGCAAAGACTAACAGTCGAAATAAATATTAATCCATGATCCATGATAATCTCTACATAAACTATCTATAAAAAGTTATGGTTTTTCATCAAAAGAATGCGACAGCACATATGAACACCTTCCCTCGTGAGTATAATTATCCAGAAAAATTCATTTACCATAACATGAAACAAGTTTATAATGAGAAATTTTAGTTTCAAGTCAATGGAACAGAAAATAGAAAAATAATTGATAAGTGAAAGAATAAATAGATAGAGACCAGATCTAGAAGAAGAAAAAAACTAAGTGTAATAGTCAAAATTCGATAAAATATAAACACGATAATAACTGTGAAGTTTTATAGAGAGTTTTTAATAAAGATAAGTTGATTTTTAGTTAAAATCTGAAACCTTTCTTTTATGTGAAAGTAATAAATAGGGGAAGAAGAGAGAGAGCACCGATGACCATTAAAAAAATTAAAAATAATATTCAAAAAAAGATATTCTATCGTAAAATTGTCGAGAACGAATAGTACAGATCAGAGTTGTCCCGTATGGACTGGACTCAAACTGTCAAGATCATGGACTAGTCTGGACTAGAAAAAAAGTATTGGATTTACTTGAATCGAGGAATAATTAGTAAAAAACATGTTGTTTTTGTATTGTGGAGTGGAATGGACTACTTTTTTAGAGTTCATGGATTGAAAAAACTGTTTTTCATGAACTCAAACTGAACTGGACTCAGAATTTTGAGTTCATACGGAGCTGTGGTACAGATCGATTATCAGAATATGAATTACTCGGGTCTTTCACTTTATACGTAAAACTCTAACACAAAATTAAATTTCTTATTTGTTCTCTACACGGTATAAACTTCCGTTTTTCTCAATATCTAATCTTATTATTTATAAAAGTGTTGTAAAAATCTAGGTTTCTCGTATACAAATTGACTCTACCTATTGAACTGCATACACTAGATATACATTAATTAACACACTTATTCAACATCTCTACAATAAAGAGAAACAAACGATACTAAAGTACATCTGTGTAACGTAGTTCGAAAATATCATTTAGTAAATTATTTCAACGTCTATTAGCTCTTTTAAGTTTTTAAAAATCATCATTTTATTTGAGAAACTTAATTTTTATTCTTCTAATAATGAGAATGAAATAGAGCCGTTATAACAGATAGAAAAATAAATATATCATATACAATATCAATAATATCGAATATTTAAAATTGTGTTGAATGAGAAAAACATTTTTTTTGAAGATATTTTTCAACAAAAAAAAATATTAAATTGAGAATATAGTCTGGTTGTTATTCATTTCATGTCATGCATACATCGATCAGGGTCATAAGAACGAAAATTTTTTTCTCTCTAGATAATTACCATGATAAAAGAAAAAAAAATATCCTATGGCATGCTTGATAGAATAATTATTTAAGAATTAGATGGTAGTTCTTTATATTATTTCTAAGACTAGTGTCAAGAAATATTTTTTTGCTCTATTAATATATTGGATTTATAAACAAAAACTTTTGTATTCATGTTGACATTTTCAAAGAGTTTTTGTTATTCCGTTAACTGCACAACAGATGGTTAATCTTGATGGTGACATATGTAAGTTAAACTTATTCAGTTTTCGAGTTCTAATTGTTAGGTATGGTTTGAATATATATATATATAACCATCTGTTGATATGAAACGAATGACATTAGTTGATCATTCTATATAAACTGATGTTTTTTATGTGTTCTAGATCACTCTGTTAATATTTTATTCTAATACTACAGATCAAACTAGATTAAAAAAAAACAACGTTTTCTTAATTAAATAATAAATATGATAGTCATGACAGTGGCTAACTATGAAAGATGTTTATTCACTATTTGTTACAAATTCACCATTTGTGTCAAACTATCACATCAATAGTTCAACGTCAACAATTATTTATTCCATTTATCGGCATCATCATACTAATTTAACAACTGTCAAACGTAAAAGAATTTTTCGATCGTCATCTCAACATTTATTATCATCATCATCATCATCATCATCATCATCATTATCATCATCATTAGCAGTAGCATCATCATCATCAGCAGCAGCATCATCAACAATAACAACAGCAGCAACAACTGTACCTGTAACATTTGCTTCTCGTTCATTTTCAACAGGTGGTGGCCGCTTATTTATTGACGATAGTCCTATATCTACTACTTATTCAGCTAGAACTGGTCTAAAAACAGCTGCAGCACTTGGAGGAATGTTAATATTAGTTATTTTCTATTTGTTATGGAAACAACGAGGTAAATGTCGTCCGGGTGAAAGTCAAGAAAAAAAATTTGATTTAGACTATTGGTTAAAACAAGTTGATCTTATGCAACAAAAAGAAACACAAAATTATACAAAAGACATTTTTTTGCAATTACCTACGGATGAACCGCGCGATACACACGAAGCAACGGCTTCATGGATATTAGACACATACAAACAATGGCGACTTACACAATATCATCGTTATAATAGTTTAACTACAAGATCAATCCGTGAACCATTGACACTCCCTATGACATCATCTCCAAAACGTTTAAAAAAATTTTTAAAACGTCGACAAAGTCAACATTCAACTATTTTTCGACGTATTCGTAATATATTAACACGTTCAAAGACGCTTGGTGGTAATCGAACTCATGGAACTTTATTACCATTAATTAAAATCGATACATCACGATTAGATACAGAATTAAACATATGTACGTCAAAACAAAAACAACGACAACAAACACAAAATCATTTAACACCATCGATATCATTCTATGATGAACATGCAGCACGTATGAATGAAGATGCTCCAACATCTATACGAACAAAAAATATCTTAGCATTGAACATGTATTATAATCATCATCATCGTGCAAATTCATGGCCTAAATTACGTCCAAATCATTCAAATACAGTCGCCAGAGCTCAACGTATTCGGAAACGTCTATTAAATAAATCCCCATCTACATCATCATTAACGTCCGTTCCTCAACAATCCACACAACAAACTAATACTGTGTTATGTTTAGCATTAATAAATCGTCCAAAAGAGACCGTTTTATAGTTTATTTCTCTACCGTATTCTACATCTTTGCTTGTTCATGTTTTCTAAACACTTATTTTTTATACTATATATAACACAAAATTAATGAAGAGTCGTAGTGTTAGTTTGAGAAGATAAATTGAAAATTTAAATTACTATTCGTTCATAAAAAGAATAATCCCCGGCATTATTTGAATAACTTTTTAACGGAAAGAGCTAGAACGATGTGGTTTTCACTATTGGATAAAGGAGCTGATTGGAAGTGAAACTATGAAAAAATTAGGTCTGTAGATGAGATTTACCATGGCAAACCTTTAAAAACAAAGTCCGGAAGCTGTTCACTTTTAGAGAAAAAAGAGATTTTTAATTTCAAAATATTGATTTTATCCTCTGAAGTGTGCTCTTTAAAACTGTTCAAGTCCGTCTCTCTATCGCTTTTGGTTCAGGAGTTACAGGCATTTTCTGAGGACATACATCCTTACATCCTTCATAGTTTCGGCTTGAGAACTACAAAAAGAGATGGACTATAGATTATCGACATCGGTGATCATCGTGGCAATGTTTATTTTCTTCCTCACATCACAGAAAGTTCAGCTGAGCCAATTTTTTCAAAATCCACTTTTTCTCGTATGTGCATCCGAAATTAAAATATTTATAACTCAGTCATTTCTCATCCAAACAAACTGTAATTTTCAGGAAATATTCAAAACAAGTCATGAATTACAGATCCGGTCGAAAAAAGTGCCTCAGATAATATATAATCTCTAAGGTTTTTAAGAAAATCTCTGGAAAATCTTCGATCGATTCGTGGCTCAAATCCAATTTTTTTAACATTTAGTTATGTGCTAGAAAGCTCAGATTTATTATAAGCTAAAAGAAATACATATGCTTAGAAGCAAACAGAACTTTGATTTTCTCATTTTTCTTCTATCCATTTCTGTTTGTTTATCAAAAGTGTATAATCTTAAGAATTTCATTCAATAAATTGAAAATATCGTAAACACAAAAAATAGCACTGCCAGTAAACAAAATTGGACACAACCGATAAACAGTCTCTCTGACAATGAGGATCTTCCATTAGGCATCCAAGCGGATATTTCGTTTTTTATTTATACATATTTATACTACTGGTTTTTGCTTGTACTTCTGAACACTTTTTACCACAACATGTGCGGTAACCCAAATAAGTTGGATATTTTCTCCACATTGATGTCAAAAAGTCAAATCAAACCATATGGAGAGCTGATATGGAAACGATTTAGTTCAAACACTGTTAATCTCATGCCTGGAAGGGACATAAAAATAGAATAGATGAAGAGTATAAAAGATCAGACGTAATGATGTCAGAATAAACAACAAAAATATATGCGTCAAATTTCTGTTAAAAAAACAGACTGTTGAGATAGAGATGCACTTTCCATTGAAGGTAAGATTACCGACACTATATTTTATCGCTACATGAGAATATATTATTATTATCTTATCGTACTATAGGCCAAAACACAGAAGCGAAAAAAAACTTGACAGATTTCTTTCATTTATTACTACTACCCATGTAAAAAATCAAACAGTTCCTATAGGCATAATTTCCCATAATAAAACAGTTTAATTATCCGTAATTGTAATATAACACGCGCTATGCTCAGGATGATTTTCCTATGGATAAAAAAAGTTCTATGCATCAGTATGTATAACAAAACTCCTATGCATAACTTTATGACTCTTTTATGCATCAAGTCCTGTGAATTATGTATAATTTTGAACTATGCATGGTTTCTTTTTGAAAAATTATGCAAAACTCTGTGTATATAGAACCTGTTTGATTTTTTACATGGATATAATCGACTTTGCTGACCGGCAAACTGCTAATTTTTCTTATGAACTTTTAGTAAAATATTGTGGATAACTATGACTAAAATTACTGCGCTAATTTTTTCAAATAATCGGAATTTCAAAATTTCAGCAGAATTTATTTTTTCGATATTTATACATGATTGGATAGAGCTCGTCGAGCTGAATCAGAATATGTGTGTTTTAACGTTCCGAAAAAAGTTTTGAGGGAAAAAATTTCAAAAAATTGAAATTTTTAAAACTTGAAAAAACGGCCTAATGTTATTAAATGAGCGCATTTCTCTAACCCAGTAGCTGTGAGAGCTTTGAAAGTTTTTTATTCTTATTCTACGTGAAAAACTAAATCTAAAAATGTAGTATTCAGCTCGAGGAGCTCTATCGAACCATGTATAAATATTGCAAAATGTAGTTACTACATTTTTTAGTTTTTCATATAGAATAAGAATAAAAAACTTTCAAAGCTCCCAAAGTCACTGGGCTAGAGAAATGCGCTCATTTATTAACATTAGGTTGTTTTTTCAAGTTTTTGAAATTTTCTCCCTCAAAACTTTTTTCGGAACGTTAAAACACACATATTCTGATTCAGCTCGGCGAGTTTTATCCAGGTATAAATATCAAAAAAAAAATAAATTCTGCTGAAATTTTGAATTTCTGGCGTCTCAAGCAATCTGCCACTATACAGTTGGTACATGTCAGATGTGATTAAATAGAACTAAATGGCAAAAGTCAAGTTTTCAATATCATTATTGCAAATGAAAAAATGATTCTGATTATGGGAATGTTTTTAACAACGTACAATATGACAACTTTTATTCATTTTTTCCATTTTAAATTTTTATTAAAATGATGTATATTTTTTATTCTGTAGAGAACAAAACGAAGCGTGATTATTAACCTACGTTCTTCAGAAATACCCTCGATAATACTTTTAACATTTAGATACTTTTCTGGAAAAATGATTAAAAAAAGATAATGGAAGATGTTTAAAAAAAAACTTATTGTCATGCGAGCTGAAAAACCAGAAGCAAATAAATGTATACGATAAGGTAACATCATTAGTCAAGTTTTTGACATAAGTCCTTCTAAATGTTCTTTTGTATTGTAAATAAACTCGCCCGCTTCCAATCGATCAGCAAATGTTGATAAATAAGTTGAGAAACTACCATATTTAACATCTCGAGTTGGATTATCGTGGGACCACTCTATTACCGGTGTTTCTTCTTCGCCGGTTTCATCTGATGTTTCAACATATCTAAATAAATACAAAAAAATCTTTTGAAAATTGAGCAAAAATAGAAATTAAATTATATCAAAATATATTGCGTTTAATTAAAAATTTTCAGCTGAAGGTCAAAAATAATAAACTTGTCGTTTTTTCTTTTTTTACTATATAAAGAGTAAATGTACTTTTGATTACCAAATTTTCTAGCATGCATCTCACATTTTTATTTCTCAACAAAGTATAATGTACACCATATAACGTGTTTTATCACTAACTTGATACAAGTTAAAAAAATTGCTAACCCAACAGAATGTTTGTTTACACGAATATACTAATAATGATACAACAAGCCAACAGGATTATTGCCACACCAGAAAACTATTGAATGTATTATTGGCTAAGTATTTATCGTTCTCGTCGGTGGGTTATATTCAATAGTTTTCTGGTGTGGCAATAATCCTGTTGGCTTGTTGTATCATTATCAGTATATTCGTGTAAACATTCAGTTGGATTAGCAATTTTATTTAACTTATATCAAGTTAGCGATAAAACACGTATTCGACCAGTAGGCAAACGAAAAGCAAAAGGACGTCCCAAATTTTTTAAATGGATATAAATAAAACTGTAAAAATATTGTTCAGTTGATTAAAATCTCGATGAATACGTTTCTGTTGTACATTATACTTTGTTGAGAAATAAAAATGTGAGATACATGCTGGAAAATTTGGTAATCTAAAAAATTGATACCCCTATATAAAGAGTAGCTCAGAAGTCCTAACCCGATTTGAATAATAAATTTTTCTATAGTGAAACAAGTGGTTGTAAATTTGTTTCTCTAAAGAAAAGATGCAGTAAAACACGCTCTACAAAATGACTATTGATTGACCCTGCTAGCTCATATAGTAAGAAAGTTATAAGCTTAGAAACGTTTCTCATATAATGAGTGTAGCATAAATAATGTCGGCCTCGGTAATTTTGCTCTGACTCCTGTTCCTTAGGTCCCCTAGAGCAAATTCTTTTTTTAATACAAGGGGCATGAAATTCTCTACAAAATCATATCTAAACTTTAATTTCAGAACTTCAGTCAAGAAAACTAAGCAAATTATAAGAAAGGCGAAAAACTGAAAACTATGTAAATTTGATACTTTTTTAAACTTGAACTTTTTCTTCCTCCATTATTTCCGTAAAAAAGTTTAGCAAAAGTGAGAACTCAGTTTGTGTTTGGAACTCAAATGTGCTCTTTCTCTTGGTCTATAAAAAGACCAGATGGTGTGCTCGAGAATGAAGTTTCAAAAAAATCGACAACCCCCGTTTCCGATCAAGCAAGAAACAGAAAACGTGATCGAAGTTTGATTTTGCAGCCAGGTAGAGAAGAGCAATCATTTCTGATCAAAACAAAACAAACCCGATCGAAAAATCTTTTGTTTTGATGAAGTTATGGGACTTTTACTGAAAGCACCATCGTACGAAGAAGGTTCACGGTTTTTTTTTTTTGTGAAGCACTATAACTTTCTTACTATATGAGCTAGCAGGGTCAATCAATAGTCATTTTGTAGAGCGCGTTTTAGTGCATCGTTTCTTTATAGAGACAAATTTACAACCACTTGTTTCATTATAGAAAAATTTATTATTTAAATCGGGTCAGGACTTCTGCGCCACCCTTTATACGACAGTTACCGAAACTAAATAACGAAAAAGTATCATTTTTATTAAAGAGTTTCGATTCGAAAAGTATTATTGTGTAGACTTTGTAAATCATTAAAGCAATCCAAAACTGTAAAAATTATCGAATGATCATATTACCTTAGATTTCCATCTGCCGATTCCAATAGAGGAATCATAAACGATGGTTTAAAATCGCCAAATTGATATTTTCGTTCTCGTCGTTTTTGTTCATTATTCCATTCGACAATTTCTTTTAAAGGTAACCAACGCCATAGTCCAAAAATACCTTCAGAATCTGTTGATTCACCATTATGAATCAGATAAGCATCTTTAACAGATTGTGGAAAATGTGCACCTAGTTCTTTTTCCGCTTTTTGTAATTCTGGTGCTAGAACAGGTGAATTCAATTTCTTCGACACATGAGGGGCATTATGTTCTAACCAACGTTCAATACGGATAAACGAATCGGAAACACTCATTTAAATAATAAATATAAATAAGAACAGATAGACCGATTACATTTACAAAAATCTAAAAATATTGAAAGTTTATACTCTTTAAAATGTGTCTACACGTATGGTTACTTCTTTGCTCAATTATGTTTCTTCAGTTTCTTCATGACAAAAATTTGCCAAAATATTTTTTACTCAATGAAAACGTACAGTGCTGTTCTAAGACGTATGGAAAAACTCACCAAAATTTTGTTTATTATTTGATCTGATTGCACGGTAAGAAAAAAAAATTCAATTATAAAAAAGAAATGAGAAAATTACATACAACACAATTATTGTATCTGATAAAAATAATATAAAAAAAAAACATAAAAAGATTAATCACAGTCGATTAAACAAGGTAAAAATTACAAAGATAAGTTATGTACATAGGTAAAATCATTCAAAAAAAAAAAGAAGAAGTATATGAACAAATTTTTCAATCAATTATTTTCTTTATATTTTTCCTCTATCGTTCTCTCTCTCGTCTGACTGTATTATGGTATACATTGGTTGTCTGTAGAGATAATAATGTTGAATAATAAAAATAAGATCGAAAAATATTGACAATACTCCAAGACCAAATTTTGTGGGTGATCCAAATATAGATGTCCAATCATTAAAATTATAAGCTAACATGAACATTTGAAGTAAACTTAATGCTCCTCCAGTAAAATCAAGCAATATATTTCCTATAGACCAACCTTCTGTTGATTTTCGACGATAATTAAACCAAGCCTGAGGCCAATATTTAAGCAATGTTATTAAAAGTTTTACATAAGAATAAAAGTATAATAATGTTAAAGTTTGAAATTTACGTTTACTCGCTGAAATTATGGTTGAAATAATTAAAAATAATATTAATACACACATTATTATACGAGTGGTGTAAGAGACCCGTTGTTTACCTATAAATAGTAAAAAAAGGTTTAATTAAAACGACTATTTTTTTTTAACTTAAAACTAGTAATAATATACCTCGTTCAAAAAATAAACACTGAAATATGGTTACTAAACATGCAAATACAGCATGACAAGCGAATACAACATCGTTTAATAATACAGGAATAACACCATGTGGATGTGCATGATAATATTCAGATTGTACCGCTGATGATGAATATAAAGTCACATTAAATACAGAATAACAAAAATGTCCTAATATATTTAATGTTAAAAAATCAAAATTTAAACCAATAACACTTTTTCGTTTAAAATTTAAAATTATTTGTGGATAAAATGATATAGACCAGGCTAAAATAGAGAAAAAACATAAATAGAAATCTCCTATTCGATTAATATCTTGAATTTTACCTAGAAAATACATCCATCCAATAATTTGTATAAATACATTTAATGTTGAACTTTTACTTATTTCAATTCTTACAAAATCTCGCTGAGTTATGTTTAGTTCTTCTGATTGAGCACCAATAATCAAATGTCCCGCTTTTCTCGCTTTAATGTGAATTTGTTGAGTTGTGATATGTTGATTAAATGTAATATTTGGTAATGGATCTATATAGCCATGTGTATTTAATGTTAATTCATCATTATTTCCATAGAGAAATGTAATATTCACATATTGACCAGGAGGCGTAACAAGTTGAACAGTTGTTGATCGAACCTTATTTACACTGATAGATAAGGATGATGGATCGAATAAAATTGTATGATCATCATCAGCAATCATTCGAGAAAAAAATCGACAAGAAACACAATGATATAAAATGATAGTATAAATTGTGATTATAAACAAATAATTTCTATTTTGAAACATTATAGAATAATGAAAACTTAATATCTAGAACATAAAGTAAAGTTTCATTATCCATCTTAACAGCTAATGTGTGAAATTAGTAAAGTCGACTGCGTCCTTGACTCATAAAACTCACACAACGAAACATTTTTGATTCTAATAGAATAAAGAACATTTAGTAATTTGGAAGTCGCATATATTCTCACATTTTTAAGAACTTTTTAGAGACAGAATAAATGACAAAGCTAGATGTTTTATTAGTATTTTTTACTCAAATACCTCTCAAATAAGTTTTGTTCGCTCTGCTTGCAAACAACTATTGTACAGTATTGACATTGTTTGAAGAGACTACAATAAAGTCTAAAGAACATCGGAAGATAATTACTAAACACTGAGCAAAAAAAAATTAGACTGCTACTGTGCACATTAAAGCAAGAATGCTATACAGCCAACAAGATTGCACATTGCACTTCATGAGCAGAGTCTTAACTTACTTTGATATTAGCGATATACGTCTGCTTTTTACATCTAACGTACCCCGAGCGATCAAAATGTCGTACAATTCAATTACGATATTGTACACAATAGCTTCTTCGACAAAATTTATGCATATTTATTCTTCAAATCTTAGCGTTGAAAAGATGGAAAAACCTTGTTGTACTTTACCTCAGTTCATCTCACAAATAGAACAGAAGACTATTACGAATATCCATCGTATAGCCTAAATTATATTTTTTGATTTTTTGAAAAAATAAAAATTTTGTCATTATTTTCTCAATGATTAATACCATTCTTTTGCAGACTTTTCACTAAACTATAATAAAAATTGCTATACTCTTATTATAGCTTGTTTGTTCACAGTGGAATCTACTTTACTTGTTTAAATAATAATTAGGAAACAGTTCCTATGAAAAATAACTGAAACTTGTATAACTTCTAAACCTAACAAACCGTTAGTATTATATCGAATTCCAGTTCGTTTAAACAAAATTCATCAGTCCACGAGCACTTCACGAATGGAAACGGTCATATTCCTAAATATAGTTCAGAATACCTTGTAAAAAGAATCACGACGAAACTATGAAATAATCACAGTAAAAGTGTGCATCGTCAAAATCTAATCCCACATAACGCGACGATGACACTTTTATCGTGACAATGTAATACTCGAGCTATAAAAATAACACGTAAAGTGTGACATTGCTTTTACATTCATCAGGTAAAAGTTGGACAATGAGGTAGTATTTTCTCCTGGTACATGATAAAAGTGTGACAGTACTACACTTTCAATAAAACAATCTTTGCTCTCACGATGCATTATGGCAAAGGAAAAAAAAACAAGAGAAGAATCTAATTTGTGTCTCAATGTATTTTTTAAAAATCTTTATAATCTTCTCAGACGACATCAACGTATGTGAAGATTGTGTGCTTATCAGACTAAAGATCTTTATGGGAAAAACATTCACGATACATTTATTTTAGCGGAGTTTCAGATCACAGATTAGTTTCATTTGTAAAGTTCCTTTATATTTGTTTTCTCTGTTTTTTGTATTTCTTTTTTTCTGTTGTAATTTTCTTCTTTTCAGTTATCTCTGTTACTAAACAATCAAACCGCAATTTTTACACAATATTTTTTCATACTCACTTTTCGTGAATAAATACTACTACTACGAAACATCAACTATAAGTTTAGCGAATTTTTAGAGCTACAGATGCTTAAGAAATACAACGGATCCATCGTTCTAATTTTAATCAATGTATATAACGTTTTAGGACAGCTGCTTAGAACTTTTCATTCTTCGGCTATGAGTGTAAGTTAATCTAAAGATTGTTGATTTACTTTACATGTAAGATCAACAGCAATTATGATTTCTAATAAACCAAAACTATTTTATGCATAAACTATCACTCATTACTATTATGCTATATTGATTTTTAAGACGCATCATGTTCGAAAAGTTATTTTGAGCACTCTATTTAGCTGCTCACAGTTGTCAGGAGAACTCGATAATAACGAATACCATATAATATCATCTTTAGTCTTAAAACTACGGTATTCTCGCCTTTCAGCATGAGTAACAGAGTAATTTAGGCTAGATAAACTACGTTTGCTTAGAAAAGCTGAGAACATTACGATGAATCATTGGAAAGTGTGAGATTATTAATCATGTAAATATGTAACAATATTATATTAAAATGTAATACTGACGCAGTAAAAACATGATATTATATGTTTACGGTGGTCTGTCACACTTTTAGCATGATATTGTTACACATTTACTATAATATCAATATAACATTTTTCGAAACACTGATGATCTGTTCTATACGATTACTTGTAAGATATTCGTCGATAGGAAAAACAAATCCTAGTTTGATTAAGAACCTTCAATGCTTTCTTCCTTACACTTATTTTTTAGTTTTTCTTATCATCCCCATGGTCGCCAAACACTGCTCGATTTATGATATTCGCCACTACTCTTTTTAAAATAGATGTCGTTCAAACACTGCTAATTTTATGCAAATAGAAAGATAACTATGCCAAATACTTCTAATTCTTTCAGTATACACATAGGACTTACCAATAAACAAAAATGCCTTTTCTAGAGTTCTTCAGTCACATTTGTTCACTTTTTCAACTCAATCAGTTATGTAGTGTAGTACTGCTGGCGACCACTATTACGAGCGCATGACTATCAAACATCTATTGTTTAGACACAAAATTCTTACTCGAGCTGAAGTTTTGCATTTCTTTTTAAGAGAAAAGTCATTTTGAGTTGACATCTGTCAGCAGTTAGTCTGACAAAAATAGTCTAAAGGTATTTGTAATTCTTTTATGGTTTTCGTTATTTTTTGGTCACCAAAATTTATGGCAGCGGTTTTCGCTATCTATTAAAAACAGCACAAAATATTTGATTTCCACTCTCTCTTGCTTTATGGCATCATCCTCGTCTTATTTACATCCTATGTCTGGGACATCTCCATCTTATTTACATATGGCCTCATCGACCTATTTACATAATATGGCCCCGCCTGGAACTAAACAATGGACATCTGTGGCATCTTCACAACAACAGCAGCAGCAACAACAACAGATGAATAATTCAACAACGAATAAACAACAACATCCATCTCAGCAGTCATCACAATTACAGACGCTAGATGGTTTAACGAATCATTTAAATCAAAACGGTTTAATAAATAGTTTAACATCATCGACATCTCAAATACAACTGGAGAAAAATGTATGTTGAAAATAGCTTTTGTAGCGCTTCAGTTCATAATTTGAGAAAGAGTAATTGCCTTCTATGGACATGACGAAGGCAACGTTTAGGATTTTCATCGTGAGAAGAAAGCTTCCACAGGTGTGATAGTACTTCCGTTAAGAAGTAAATATAACTTTGAGAAATTGGACGGATGCTAGTTGTTTTTAGTCTATTTCAAAGTTTTTCCTTTGTACCGGAGCTGTCGGGAATGAAAAGATTTGTTTGATCCATAGGCACTTTTTTTCATTTTGTACACTGCGTTCAATTTTTATAAATTTGGTAGCTGTAATCAAATATTTTTTTGTATCTTAGTAACTTTTTCGCGTATATTCATAATGTGATCCACCGTCTGTAACTTCCTTTCTCTAAAAAGTTTATATTCGTTTTTCTATTTAATTGTTTTACAGTTCGAATTACAACAGGAAGATTTCCCTCCATTGCCTAAAAGTGCAACGATATCGCAAAATCAGGATTCGACAACAACAGTTTCTTCACAGCAAACATCAAATAATTTATTACCATCAGTCACTTCTTCATCATCCTCATCTCAACATCCATTTAGTAATTACTCCTCGACATCTTCGAACTCTTTAAATGGTTTCGCGTCATTGAATGATTTAAAACAATTGCAACAACAACAATCTTCTCAACTACAATCCTCATCGTCTTATCATCATACATCGTCGTCACCTAGTCCTACGATATTTAAATCATCCGTCGATCAAATGAATACTCTTTTAAATCGTCAACAATCGATTCCTGCATCTCAGAATATATCATCATTGTCAAATTCTCAACATCCACAATATATGAAACAGTTATCGCATCAACCGTCAGGTTCAGGTAGGTCAGATAGGTCGAAAAAATACATTATACTTAGTTTATTATCCTGTGTAACAATGACATGTAGAAAGTGTCTTGGTTCTCTTAAATAATCTTAATAATATAGACAAGATTGATCATATACAAAGATATCTTAGTATCACAGTGAAAATTAAATAGTTTAAAACTTAGTTGGTGAATATCTGATATTTTTGTACTGTTTTATTCTATAGTTGCTTTTGATTTTGAGTAACAATTCCCTAGCACTGCAATAAATATGTTTTATTTTTAACGTATTTTAGTTTCATCGTCAACTTCAAATTCTTCATCATCAACTTCGGCTGGATTTGCTGCTCTTTTAGCAGTACATCAAGCTCATGCTGCTCAGCAACAACAACAACAAAATTCATCAAATACAACTTTAACATCAGGCCAGACGACGGCAGGTGTGATTGGTAGTAACGGGACGGCAACGACAACATCCGGGCAAACAAGTAACAGTGGAAGTGTAACGAGTGGTAATACTTTACCGTCTTCAACAATTACCGATCAATATGGTCTGGTGGGTTTGTTACAAATTATTCAACAAGCAGAAAAAGATCCAGTTGCATCAACTTTATTGAATTGTGATCTTACAACATTGGGTCTTAGTAAGTTGTTTAAGTTGTTTAAGTTGTTTAAGTGTTTAGTAAGACGTGTTTAGTAAGTTGTTTAAGTTCACTAAAAAAGGCTAACAAGACTTAGAAACACTGCCTCGACGTGGACTTATATTCAGAGAGTACATCTGTTAGTACAATTGCGCTGTAATATTTATCAGAAAAATTTTGAGTGTGTTATTCTTTATTTATTTCCAGGTATGGAAAGTCAAACTGATTTATATCCATCGTTTATATCTCCCTTTGTCGATCAACAAGCTCGTCCGCATGAAATCGATTATCAAGTACCATATGAATATCAGATGGGAATACAAATTCGAGATAAACTACCACAAGTGAAATTTGATCAATTAAATGAAGATACTCTATTTTTTCTATTTTATCTATTTGGAAATGATTATATTCAAATATCAGCTGCCAATGAATTATATCGTCGTGATTGGAGGTATCATAAAGATGAACGTATATGGTTAACTCGAATTAAAAATATCATGCCCGATCAGAAATTTGAAACTTATGAAACTGGCGTGTATTGTGTATTTGATGTACCACTATGGAGAAAAACACACAAATCAATGAGAATCGACTATGAAAAATTAGATGGTATGTAACAGTGGCAAAACACACAGATGATCTTTTACCGACATACAAACCTTTAAAAAAGCGTTCATCAAATGCGAGTGATTCAACTAGAAAATTCAATAGTTTTACTTATGTATACGAATTGACTTCAGTTTTGAAAGTGATGTGAAGCAGATTTAGTTGAACATGCATTACATCTCGAGTTCCCAATTTAGCTTTCGAGAGAACAAGCTTTAGTTCTCAAAAGGATCTTTTGCTTCAGAAGTGAACAAGTCAAACCTCTTTCAAGTAAAAAAAATTCAATTGCCTTGCTCTCTGTTGATTACTTCAGATAAAAGTGATTTCTTTAAGCCTCGAGTTAACTTCTACGTAAAATTAAAGACAAGCGCTAATAATAACAGAAATATTTTAAGATACGTTCAGTTTTTTCACTCCTAGGACCACCAATTAAGCAACAGGAGTTGATTACATCGAAGTTACTCCAACAACAACAACAGCCAGGGCAATATTCAAATTATACAAGATAATTTTTAAGTGTTCAGTTTATTCGTTAAAAAATATGTTAGTGTGTGTCTTTGTGTATATATATCCATAGATATTAGAGAGAAAAACATATACGACAATAACAACAACAACAACAACAACAAGAATCTTCTTTTCTTTCACCCTGCTCGTCGTTCGTATTGTGTTGTGTGTGTTTGTGTTAACTCTACTATCTTTTTTATTGTATAGAAACATAAGAAAAAACCAACAGCACACATAAATAGTTTTTTCTGTTTTTTTTTTGTGGAGACGTTCGTTTTCAAATTTTTTTCGTTTTTTGTTTGTTGTGTTTTACTTTTTCTTCTTAAAAAAATGCGCTGCAATTTCTGAAGCGAAAACTTTTTATAATATATACATACCACAAAACATATAAAAAATAAACAAAACACGAATAAACACATTCGAAAAATAAAAAATCTTGTTGAAAGATTGTTTGATTAAGATGAGTCAACATATTGAAACATATGATTTCTTATATATAATGAGTAGAAGATAAAGAATTGTGGGATAGCCACATGACAAATATCAAACGTGCCGCTAGAAAATATGATCATCTAGTCTATTGTATTTGAAGACGAGAAAAGAATACGAGTTTATTCGGTAAAATACTTTCGTTCTGATCTATTTTTTGTTCTTTTATTTGTGAATTATATTTTTAAGAAAGAACGAAAAGAATCGAAAAAAAAAGAAGTGTAGAATAGGAGTCAATAGTCAATTTTTATCGTTACATCGACAATTATAAGACCTATCATATATATCTATGTCCGCATGTTGAAAACGACTAAGTGGACAGTAATCACATGGTTGAGTGATAATGAATCCAGAAAGAAATACACGCAAGAAAGAAAATTTATTAAGAAAAAGAAATACACACTGCTTTTTTTTACATAACATATGGTATAGAAGATATTTATCGATGACTTCGATTTCAATACCTTAGGTAAGTTTAAGTTCTCACATTCATGCGCGTCTCTTAACTAAGAATATTTAATAACTACTGCTGCTCAAAATCATATACATACTGTAAAGTTTAACTCAAAGAACACGAATTTAACATAAGTCAAGATATTCGTCTTTTTCATACTTTAAAAGCAACATAAAATATTGGTGTTGATGATTTTATACATTTATTAGTAAAAAATCCCTTGTTGTACATTCTTAACAACATATATAACGGATGCGGCAGAAAGAATGAGCCTCTCAGTATTTCCTAGTTTTCTCGAGGATCTAAAGGTTAATGTTTTATTTAAAAAGATACACCGCGAAATACCCTACAAAACCACACCTGAACTTTAATTTCAGAACTTCAATTAAGAAAACTACGCAAATCGTACGAAAAAGCAAAAAAATGAAAACTTTGTAAACTTAAAAACAATTTCTTGTGTTAATATTTTGAAAGTAAGAAAAACTGAATTAGCCATTTTGTAGCCCTGACTTCGTTCTATCTTTTAGCTACACTTCACATTTTTTCATATTAGTACCCATGGAGAAATAATAATTTTTCTATCGGTTATCACATTTTTTAAATTCTGTGTGCGATGGTGCTTTCAGTAAAAGTCCCATAATTGCCTTAAAATAAAAGATTTTTCGATCGGATTTGTTTTGTTTTGGTCAGAAATGATTGTTCCGCTCTACCTAACTACAAAATCAAAACTTCGTTCATGTTTTCGTTTCTTGATTGGGTACGTTGTTAGAAACGGGGGTGTTGTCAATTTTTGACGTATTTTTGAAAACTTCGTTCTCGAGTATACCATCTGCTCTAAAAAGCTCTTTTTAGAGACCACAAGAAAGGGCAGTTTCGAAAGTACAAAAAAGAAACTGAGTTCTACACTTTTTTACGGAAATAATAGCAGAAGAAAAAGGTTCAGAACGAAAAAAATACCAAACTTACAAAGTTTTCATTTTTATCGCCTTTCGTATGATTTGCGCAGTTTCTTAATTGAAGTTCTGAAATTAAAGTTCACGTGTAGTTCTGTAGATTATTTCGCGGTGTATCTGTTAAAAAAGACATTAACCTTTAAGTCCTAAAGAAATACGAGAAAAATAGAAAATACTGTATCCGTTATATGAGCACTATTAACTGTTGTCGAAAACTTCAAAACAACAATTTAAAAGTTTGATATTCTGGAATGTAGTTCATTCTGTCTTTTTATTAACTTAGTCAGGAATAAAGATTAATAAATGATCGCTGCTTTGTCACAAGATATTGAACAATAGTAGGATTATTTTATTATAGATTTTTTTTCTCTACTATTTATTATTTTTTATGAATGGTTAAGAATACTTTTTTTTTTTTCGTTTAGTTCAAACAGATATTTTGCATTTACCCAGACAGCATGTCTCGTTTATATTGTTTTGGTTGTCGCTTATCGGTGATAACCAGTTTAAGTTGTTTATTGAATATTATTTTAACAATTTTATTTTTTCAATGGTTTACAAAAAAACCACTCATAATTCCGTCCTCATCGATTCTTTTCGATTTTTCACAATTATTAAATCACACAACAATAGAAACAAATAATCAGTATGGTTATGTGCTATTATCATGTTCAGCCTATTCATTTAGTCTCGCTTATTGTTACTATTTACCTTTCACAAGTTTAACATGGCGACGTATTGGCTATGAACCAATAATATTATTACATGGTTTGGAAAATTTACCGACATCATCATTATCTGAAATGATGCAAGCGTTAAATCATTTACAACTGAAACATTATTTTATTCATACAAAGACTAAATTTGATAAAGAAGTATTATCGATATCTTATAGTCAAATATCAAGATTATTTGGTGGTTATTTAGAAGACAAATATTTAAAAAACGATGATTTTCTAATTATATCAGATGCTGATTTATTACCGATTAATATAAAGTAAGATACATGAAAATTTTAAGATTTGATCGTGAGTTTGATCTTATTTTTAGAGAAGATATCTGTGGATGGTTCCTTACTAGATAAATGAATATGACATATCTTCTGTTTAGATTATTTAATCCCAATCCAACGTCAGATATTTTAATTGTAAATGCATTTTGTTGTTTATCAGAAGAATTAATCTTTAAAAATGTTTCCTATCCTTATTATCCAATATCGTATATCGGAATGAAAAAAAGATTATGGAAACAAGTTGTTGATTTAACAAATTCATCGTGTTTCGACGAAAAACATAAGAAGTTAACAATGTCTACCATTACATGCTATTTAAATTTTAAAATGAACATAACAATTCAAACAAAAGTTAGAAAAAAGCCCCCGCTCTGGGATATTGATCAACGGTTAATCAGGTGAGCGTACAACAAAAAATGAATAATTTTTGAAGAGCGAAGTAAGTGATATTCAAGTGCTATGAGGAATTGATCATTTTGTAATTTGCTTATATCTGCATCCGAGTTTATCCTTTATCCAGACGTTCTATTTTTTACTCAAAGAACGGCTGTAGAATTCTCTACTATAAACATGTTGACTGTTTAATTACAAAATGTGAAAGTGAAAATACTAAGAAGCTCCAAATAATGGTTAACTCTCTAACTTAAAACTCAGTTTTTGTTGTTCTATCCTTTTAATTGTTGAGATATTCGTATAGTTTGTGATTCTAGCCAGCCAGTTCATGCTAAAATTTGAGCGAACAACGGTAAAGTAGCGATGCATCTTAACGACAAAATCCATCATACAATCGTACAATAAACTAATAGTCCATGAAAAATCTAACTATCTATTTTGCAGCGCTTGAAAAGGTCGAATTAAAATTTTCTCGCAGTATAATTGGTTACATGAGAAATTTTTTCCTTTCCTTTTAATAAAAATTTTGAAGAATAATTTCACATGGTATGGTTGTATAAAATTCTCATTAATCATTCAAAATCAAACCTGTTTAGTTCGGATTGCTTTTATTTTAAGAGCCATGTCAGATAAGGGACGTCCGATTGCTAGAGAAGCTGCTCAATCGACTTTCTTAAAAGTTAATCTTAATCATATCGGTAAAAGTACAAGTCATTGTGACTGTTTTGCCGCAACGCGCGGCTCTTTAGCTCAAATCATTACTGAGTTATTGAATTTTTAAAAGAAATGGACACTTTTTTGGATGATGAATTAGTTATAATTAAATCTGGTGATGATCGTGCCATTTCTCACCCAAGTCATGGAGAGTCACAATAATTTAGTCGTATATACAACTCCCGGTTGTGGATGCCACTGCATCACCAAGTTACAGATGTCAGTATTTGCCCAGCAAGACCATCAATTATCTCCGAGATAATTACCTTGTTTAGCTTCAAAGTATTAATACCCAAAAATCGCGGTTGGAGGAAGCTTCCTTAAGTTTCCTATTAACACATATTATAGAGCTTTTCATGGCGTATCAAATGATGTATGAATGATTAGAGATTCTCGTTACTTGCATAGAAAAACTAAACAAGAGTTTTGCGGTTTGCGTTGTTAGAAAGAGAAAAGATAACTTTATCAGGAAATGTAACATTCAAGTAGGTTGCACCGACTTCTGGCGCCACCTAGCGGTGGAACTTCTT